GAGGGAGAGAGAGAGAAAGAGAGAGAGAGAGGGGGAGAGAGAGACAGACAGACAGACAGAGAGACAGACAGACAGACAGAGAGACAGACAGACAGAGAGACAGACAGAGAGACAGACATAGTATAGAGAGAGAGAGAGACAGAGAGGAATAAGAATAGAGTGATCTGAGAGCAAGAAAGAGAACTGAAACACTGAAAGAGGAAGAGAGAAAAATGCTGTAGATATACCGATATTGTGTAATACAGGTACCTGTTTTATCACTTCATCTTTTGTACTGACCTGAAAAGAATAAATCTTCTGTTGTCCAAATTGAAACTAGTACTTATGTACTTTGTTGATGATACACCCTTAAGATGTGAGTTGGCTGTCTGATAGGAGAGTTTTATTAGTTTGAATATTTCAGGCATCTTGGGGGCAATGTTAAAGAATACTCAAAAAGTCGTCATTAAAACTGGAAAAACTCGTTGAGTAGTGACAAATCTCACGATGTATTTCAGTGAATATAATTTTCATCATTATTCAATCACTCGAGAGAGTGCGAATGATGCTTAAAAAGGTCCTATTTTGTAAAGTTACTCTACTTTAGGGCTCCTATGTAACTCACTGTGAAAAAAAAAAAATTGAAGCAGCAACATTGAGTTCTTTTAAGATTTCCAAACAGTGACCTCAAACTGAGCAAGTATTCAGCCTTTTAGGTCAGAAAGACAAGGCCACCGAATGCATCATAAGCAGCAATGATCGGAAATCGTAGTGGTCAGGCCGAAGGGCTAGAACTCAGATTGTCGTTGGATTGGAAAAGTAAAGTAAATCGTAGTGGTCATTAACATTTTTTGAGCAGTGCGTATGTGTAAAATTCCACTTTGTTTAAAATGGCCCTAAATTGATAATAAGTTAGAAAAGAAAATAAATAATGGTAAAATTATCAGCCACACTTTGAACAGCCTTGTGATCCGGAAGCCAAGACCGTTCAAATTGAAATATATATATCAGAGCACACCAAGAACTTTTATTCACTTAACTACCAACAATTTTCATTGGCTTACAAAAGAAAGTTCAACATTTTCAAGGTCGCCTTCACACACAAAGTAAATCAAGTTCCTCAGACTCTTCGTCATGAGACCCTGCCGTCTATAAAATGATGCTAGTAATTCATTAGCCACAAAGACGAAGTAGTCGTTTTGTTTTACGAGAAGCAGAATCTCCAAACGTTGTCCCTGCACGATCTTCCTCCTCAGCGGGCTGTACTCGGGCCCGTCTTGAAACCGCCCATAGTATCTAGTAGAGACTACTCTATCGTTGTCAAACTCTATCTTAAAGACAACATCGATAACACATAATATGGTAGAGCTTGTCTCACACGGAGTACGCCTAAGACCGAAACTGAACGAACTGCCCCTTGCGATAGCAGAAAATCGCATGATTTGTCCGTCAAAAGCGCCGTTTGGTATTGAAGCTGGCTGAAATTGTAAGGGTTTCGGCCAGAAATATCGAGTGTCGAAACACAAATACCGGAAGCTGTCCGTGTTGGTCCCAGAAAATGATGTCACACCTTTTTTCGAGCACAGAGAACAAACCTTTGACTTGGAGGATGTGTCGAGGTTAAAGTTAAACCCGACACAGTCCGGGTTCTCGTTGCAGGCTCGTACACACGGGATAGGGGAAGCTGAATACTGGATAGTTTTCAGATCACATTTGCTGATGAATCCTGGGCTGCCTGCACATGTTATTGTATCTATCTCCAAACCAAGAATCTCTGATGTGAGACACAGGAAGGCACACACGACGTAGTACATTGTCAATTTCATTGTTGTAGCCAACGAGGAAAGATTTCACGATCTGGTCA